AAGGAGCAGCTTCCTCGGCAGGACCTGAGCCATGCAAACATCCGCTTAGGAAAACCTTTATTAGTGCTAGGAACTGTCTAAAATCCAGTCATTGAAACAAGCAGGGTGGGACGTGACCATTACGAACGGCACACACACACACCAGTTTGCCCTTAGAAAAGGTTAACAGAAAAAAAAAACAACCCCAAAACCCCAAACCTGAAAGGGACCTCTCTTCCCCGCCAGCCTGGGACGGGATGGGGACGAGGAGCTGGGGGAGGGGGGAGAAGGTGCAGCTCCGAAGAGCCCGGTGCCCGGCATTGCTCCTGGGGATCACCCACGCACAGGGAACAGCAGCGCTTGGGGAGGCATCAGGTCCCCCCAGCTCTGCCTGGCCGCAGCCTTCGGCAGCACCGCTCACCGCACCGCCAGCAGCAGGGGTTACTGGAGGGAGGGACAGAGTTATTTGTGGCCTGGGAAGGAGGGAGGAAAGTGCGCAGTTTCCCCGTTCAGCTTCAGTTCTCTCCCTCGAGAGAAGAGGTCTGAAAGAAAACCCTGAAAGCTCAGTAAAACATGACACTTAAAACACCCACAGCGTCAACTCGAGAGCGCCCGGCCTTGCGCAGCCGGCACCCGGGACAGACACTCGCCTATGCCTAAAACGGAGGGTGGGGGACAAAGACAAGATGCTCAACATGGCCCCAGCAAGCACCAAGGAGCCGCTTCGCCGCTTACGGACCCGTCCACATGTCAGCGCAAGAGGGGACCGGCGAGGGAGGGCGTCACCGGCCTTCCCGTGTCACCAGAGGGGTCTGGGGGAGGGAGGTGACAGCAACGACTTTGTTTTTCTTCCAACGCTCTCATCAGCGGCTGCGGGGAAGGAAGCCAGAGCCGCTCCGGTGACGCAGCCCAGATGAGAGGAGAAGCAAAGGGAACAGCCCAGGCGGGGAGGGAGGCGCGGTGCGAGACCCTGGGGAGGGACGGCAGCTCCCACGCGCAGCCCTGGCCGGGACCGGGACGGTGGGTGTGAGCGCGGGCACTCGGCCCCTCGCCGGCACCCTCCGCGTGCTCAAACCACAGAAGAGCTGCAGGGACTGATCCCGCAGCCCTCAAATGGCGTCACGCAGAGTGACATGAGGCTGGAGGTGGGACACCAGAAAACGAGATCTGCCCTCAGTACCCCGTGGCCACAAATCCCTCACGCCGGCGGGGACTCACAGCTCCCCGCCGAGGTCCTCAGCTCCCCTCCGCTACCGAGGAAGCAGCCTACCTTCCACCTGCCCCACGCACTCACTGCTAAAAACCTTTCCCAGCCCACGCCCGATTCCCACGTGAGCAACACCAGAAATCAGCCTTTGCCCTTGGGGTCAGCGCTCCCCTCCAGCAGCTCCGACCCACAGCCCCGCAGGCACCAGCGGAGCCACCCTCC